GGTGAGTGTGAGACACTTTTTTACTGGAATCGAGGCATTCCATCATAGTCCTCATGGATAACAACGCACCCTTTTGTAGTAAAACACTTATTTATATATTTATTTATATATATTTATAACTATTTAATTACTTATTCTTTATTTATCCTTACATACCTTAAAAAAAGGTTCTTTTAACGCTATAAAGAATCTCCACCAGTTTACTTATAGTTAAAGTTACCATTACCGTTATAGCCTATTAAATTCCACTGCTGAACATAGCCCTCCCACGGCTGTCAAGCGAGCTGGCAACCGCAGGTTTATATTTTTAATCGTTATTAGGAAGATGTTGCTGACCATCACTGGATTTGTTTCCCTCTATCGTCTCTTACGACAGCCACGGGATGATATTGGGTAGTGGATAATCTTACACTGCCACTACATGGATTAGTCAACCTATGTATTAGAATCTTATTTATAAAACTGCCACTTTATAATATTGGCGTGTTTCAAATTCAATACGGGTATCCTATATTTGGTTAGGGACTTCAAATCTTTTTTCATTTTATTGCTATTATTAAAAAGAGATATAATTAAATAAGCTTGAGCGTCTTCAGAATATATCCATTCGATTTATATTTGGTTTACGCAAATATGATCATGTATCCCAATTTCGAAATCAATGCAAGTGGCTCCCTATTCGCCTTCGCCGGGATGTTCATAAACTCTCTTTACTTTTTTGTGTACTGTGTGATCCGAAATCTCCAAGATACCTTAAGGAACAATTTCAATGTCGACATGAATTTCATAACCGAAAGGAGGATGGCCAAATCGTACTAGACAACGAAATGATAGCGTTTATGTAAAATACCCTTATTGTTTAAGGTCTTAAAACACACTAGAAATACCTCTCTAAGTAGCCACAAAAAAAAGTTATCCATTTATTTCTATTTTTGTAACTGTTCAAAATTATTTCAAATTATAGTTTCAGAACGTACCTAATGACGATTCATTTCGTGTGTGTGAAAGGACTTGGTATTCAAAGACTATAATTATTTACGTTTTTATAAATAGTTGTTAATTTTAATTCAATTCAATTAGTATATAGACAACAAATCAACTACTATGCTGATTTATTATGTATTGGATTCTTGTCATAAAAATAATTATGTAGGTCATAGTAAGCTTAACGTTTTGTTCAATTACATATGTACGGAATATATACGGAATTATATATATACGGAACGTCATTTGTCATCGCTTACTCTGTGATCATCGATTCGCACCAGTAATATTGTTAAATTGTTATTTCTTATTTCCTTATTAAGTAAGTAATTATCTTATTCCTTAGTAATTGTTATTTCTTATTTCCTTCTGTTGTTTTGACCTCGGCATTTTTTACGGACTGATTTTTTCACAACTTGGATAATTGTGAGAAACATCATGCAAACACAACAAAGACAACTAGGTGTGCGATTGCTTTGTGTTAATTGTAACATATGCACTGATAAACTTCGCCACCATCTCGTTTTTGAGCTTGATACAAGAGTAATTTCTAAGATCTGCGAGTGGAATTCTTCAATAATAGTACATATTTACATACCTACTTATTTTATTACACTAACATAATACATCATCATAATACAACTCTAATTCTTATTTTAGATCATTGAAGAAGATTACGTATGTGATGCCTGTCAGCAATTGGCAATACAGCATGTCAACTCCGGGTTACCTAATGAACCTGGTGCCTCATCTTCCCGTGGCCACAAGCATGTTTGCATACTTTGTGGAAGTTCTCTGAGGACTCGTAAACGTGATGTTGTTGTGAGAGAGAATCCATCTCAGTTGCAACAAGCAATACATGTTGAGCTTGAAAATAGAATTGCCCCACGGCAGGTAATAATTGTCTTTTTATTTTGTACTTTTCTTTTGTTTTGTCTTAGTATCAATGTTATAGTGAATTTATCACTGCAATTATATATTGTTTGTAAAAGTGTTTCTGTTTGCTAGGGTTTAATAATAATTAGCCAAAACATTTATATTAAGACAAAGCTGTATGGTTGTTTCAGGCAACTTCAACAGACCATGTTTGACATCCCTGTTGGCTGAGACTCAAGAGAGTTGCAACACGCAATATGCAGCAGACAGAGCCAGAGCTGGAGCAGGAGCCAGAGCCTCAACCCCAAGAACCTCAAAGCCCACCAAATAACGACCAGCAAGATGACGAAATACCTCGGGTGATTAGTTTGCCGCTGTATAGACGAGCGGCAAACACTGCAAAACATTAGAAAGATTAATGGATAAGGTTAGGGAAATATTGGTACAAGATTTTGTGCCTAGAAATCACGTGAGCAATAATTGCAACACAATTTAATGATTCCAAATGCAATTTATAATCAAAATAATGAAAATGCGATAGTTATATGTGATGGGACATATATTTTTATAAACAAAAGTTCCAATTATATGTTCCGAAACGACACATAATCCTTACATAAATACAAAAACTTGTTAAAACCATTTTAGCTGGTGACACCTGATGGCTACATTTTAGACTGCTTTGTTTTCCATAGCTGCAAGCATTTTAAATAAATTCGGTGTTCGATTAAAAAACAGGAATGATGCTGAGCAAATCATAAATGTGATTAGAGAACGATTCCCATTAAATAATAATTTATCTGGTTTTTTAAATAGTATGAATATGAATAGACGAACATCTGATTTTACTAGTATTACAGCTCATTCCAATACTAATATTATATTCCCCCATCTAGAATATAGTGAAGTTATAGTATTTGCCCTAGGAACATATCAAATTCAACAGGCAAGGTCCTATTATAGTGAACATGTCAGGTTTCACGGAGGGCATAGAATTGAAATAAGCAGAGAAAACATTAATGTAACAGAGTATCGTTTGAGAGGAAGTGGAAATTCACTTATAAGAGGCAAAATCAAATCCAGACACATTTCGAGAAAAGTATATTATGTTTATATATTAATTGAAAATAATTTGTCTGGAAGGGAAGCTATAATAGAGTATTGCAGCAATTGTTTAGTTGGTAGAAGAACAGTTGGGTGCTGTGCACATGTTATGACGCTTGTGTGGTATCTTGGGTGGGCCAGGCATCAGCCGACAATACCAGCACCTGCAGCATTCCTTGATGCTGTAGTTGTAAGAGAGGATGATTAATAAAAAGTAATTTTCTCTTTTTTATAGAAATAAGGTGACAAACTAGCACACAGTCCACCTGATGGTAAGTGGATACTGTGGCCTATAGACATCCACATTTATCTTCAATTGAAAATCAAAATTTTGATGTGTTACCAGCCCTGAGGACTGAGATAGAATGCCTTGTTACCATTAAAAAGGGTCTCCGGTTCTCTATACTCACCATTCGAAACACAGCAGCATTAAGCTGCTATTTTGGTTTGGTTTCTATCATGGGCATAGCATCGAGATGAGGTTGATCCACCTGCATCTTTTTTATATGATATATTACCATCAAGTGATGATATTGAAAATACAGAATGATGATTATAACCTTAATGCGTATTAATATTGTTATATTATAGATGATTTTTGCCATAGTTGCTACACTTGTGGCAACCAAAGTTTTTTGTGGTATTCTATAGGAAGATGCCGCTGCCCATCTCCTGATATTTTTATTTTACTCTGTCGACTTTTACAACACCATATGGGACGTGGTGGCAATTCACGAAAGGCCTGTGTAATATTTTACATTATATATTTAGTTTAGGAGGCCTATGTTGAGCAGTGGACTGTCGCAATGATGATTAATAATGATCAATTAAAATTGTAATGTTGTTTATTTTACCTATTTCAATTTTACTGTGTGCTTTTATTTTCTGTTATATATTATGTTATATGTGTAATTTATAAATAAACGCCGAGCAAAGTTGAATTAATGCTCTGGCACCCTTTTTTATCTCTTTTAATTCACAATCTCCTTCTGATTTATAATTATATAAATGGATAAGTATCTCTAGACATTATATTTTAATGATGTTTGGAATTTATACTTGCTAATAAACGAATACTTTAATAAACAAAGGGCCCGCACTACACCTATCTACTGTGTTATTTTTAAGAAAGGACTTATAAAATGCCGACGATTTTTAGAATAATAAATGTAGTGATAAATGCAGTGATATTATACATGATGTCTGGGATTTATAGGACAGATGTAGGGTGCGCTTTGAGAGATACCTTATAATTGTGTGATAAATAGTCGTTGTATGGTTCCACCACATATTTTTATTTAGCAAACACTGCAACGAGCTTTAAGTCGCATGTATGAAGTTATATTATTTGCACTAGGACCATATGGATTCAACAGGAAAGGTCCTATTATAGTGAACATGTCAGGTTTCATAGAGGGTATCGAATCGAAGTACAGTTGGGTGATGTGCACATGTTATGACGCTTGTGTGGTACCTTGGGTGGGCCAGGCATCAGCCGACAATATCGCCAGTGCCAACATCACTCCTTGATGTTGTAGATATAAGAGAGGATGATGAATAAAAAGTAATTTTGTCTAGCCTACTTGTTTCATTAAATTACTCCTAAATTATAAATTCTACCATTACACTTCATTTATTCCCGTAACCTACCATTACTCGATTTTTCAATACATATGCAACTTTAGTATTGAAGACTGAAAGACAGTAGGTATCTAGCGACTAACTCTTTCAGCTAGAATTAAAATGGTCAAACTACAAAAAAGCCTTGAAATCTTTTAGGAAAGACTTCGTGTGATAATAATAATAATAATAATAATAATAATGGCGTAGGGAAGTGACGACCCCATCGCCCGTTGACGTGACGGTTATGTGACAAAACCGCTACGTCCGCGCAGTCAGTCAGCACCTTGCCAAGAGGTGTGAGCGCCGTGCCTCGGCAAAAATAGATGGTGCAAGGGCCCGCTTGTGCATATGGCCTCACCATGAAACGGCGCCGGGTCTGGGCATCTCCCGTTAAATGACGCCCTGTATGGATGATGGAACATATAAGATTGCGCAAAGGGCCGCTGCCTGGAGGTCGTCAGGGCGCGTCTGGAGCTGGCGCTGGACGCGACAGCATGCGAACCGCCAATATCGCTGTAACCGCGATTATGGAAACGCGCAGTACGCCTCTCGAAAATCGACCGCGACTTCCCCGCATAGCCCTAAGCAAGCGGAATCGGGCTGTCGTGAGGGCTCTGAACCCAATGCTGGTGACCTATTTGGAAGCCAGCCGGGACCTTTGCGAGACGGACTCAATTCTCTTTGGCGCCGCACTGGTAGTCTGCCGTATTATAGGCGCCAAACTTTCCACGGCTGGACGCACTACTGGACAAAGTAGTGCTATCCCAGCCTGGAGAACAAGAATTGAAGAACGTATCGCAAAGGCTAGGGCCCTCATCGGCAGACTGATATGCTTCAGGTCAGGCAATACCAGGCCAAGGATTGTGCGCACCGTCAGGATGGCGTTTGCTGGAACAAATGTTAGTTTGTCCCAGCCGGATATAATGCAAAAACTGACGGAGCGCATAGACGACCTGAAGCAGAGAATCGCTGCTTGGGGAAAGCGAATTCGGCGATATACCGAGAGGTCGACACGGTTCAACCAGAATCGTCTCTTCCAGAGTGATCAGAAGAGGCTCTATAAATTATTGGAGCGACCAAAGGTATGTGTAGCGGGCCAAGGACCGGATCAGGCTGATATTATCGCATTCTAGCGTGGCCTGTGGTCAGAGCCCGTAAACCACAGTGGCCCTTGGATGGAAGTTGTGGCGAGTCAGTGTGCGGGTATTACGCCCATGGACCCCGTCACCATAACGCCGGATGACGTAGCTGAGGCGGTCCGTAGGGCCCCGAACTGGAAAAGTCCGGGACTCGACGGGCTGCATCACTACTGGCTGAAGGGGTTCGTGGTGTGTCACACTGTGCTCGCCCGACAGTTTCAAGAGGTTCTCAACCAGAAGTCGCTCCCGAGCCTCTTCACTACTGGGATCACCCATTTGGTTCCTAAAGGCCAGAGTACCACAGACCCGAGCAAATACCGCCCCATCACATGTCTACCGACCATATATAAGACACTAACATCCATTTTGAGCGCGAGAATCACTCGTCACCTGGACTCAAATCAGGTGATGTCGCGCGCTCAAAATGGATGTCGGGGCGGCGGTCGTGGAACCAAGGAACCACTCCTCATTGACGCGGTCATTGGCAAAGTGGTGAAACGCAACCGTCGGAACTTCTCCGCCGCCTGGATAGACTACAGAAAGGCATTCGACTCGGTGCCCCATACATGGCTAAAGAGAGTCCTCGAACTGTACAAGATAGACTGTACAGTTAGAGACTTCCTCGAGCAGTGTATGGGGCAGTGGAGTACGATCCTTTGTCATCTGGGCGAGCGGATGATGGCTGCGGAGAACCACATAAGGATAAGAAGGGGTATCTTCCAGGGCGATTGTCTGAGTCCAATATGGTTCTGCCTCTCTCTGAACCCTCTCAGTACCTTACTGGAGGGCTCCGGGAGGGGATTTCAGCTACGGAAAGGAGGGACAAAAGTGACCCACCTTTTCTATATGGATGACCTCAAGTTATTCGCCTCCAGTCACTCCCATCTTATGGAACTGCTAAACATCACTTGTGAATTTAGCAATTCCATTGGAATGGAGCTGGGGACGGATAAGTGTGCGGTCCTCCATGTTGAGAGGGGTAGGGTTGCTAACTCTGAGGGCATAGACTTATCTATGCCCGTCAACCTAAGGACCCTTTCCGAGGCTGAAACATACCGATACCTGGGTATGTCACAGAACATTGGTATCGATGAGGCTGGTATGAAACAGTCAGTTTGCGACGTGTTTTATGCACGCTTGACCAAAGTGCTTAACAGCCTTTTGTCCGGTGTGAATAAGACACAAGCATATAACGGCTGGGTCATACCTGTCCTCATGTATACCTTTGGCATACTCAGGTGGACTCAGACTGAACTTAACGCCCTGGATAGAAAAGTCCGTACTACCATGACGTCCCACAGGATGCATCATCCGAGATCGTCGGTAATGAGGCTGTACTTGCCGCGAAAGCATGGTGGGCGTGGCTTCTTGAGCGCGCTCACCATGCATAATCGCGAAGTGTGCAGCCTCCGTAATTACTTCCTGGCGAGATCGGATGATCCATTCTATAAGGACATCATTTCTTGTGATAAAGGACTTACCCCTCTATCCTTAGCCAACGAGCAATGGCAAGACCCGGCAGTGCAGACAATTTCCGACCGGGAGACCGTATGGAAGGAAAAGGAGCTCCACGGGAGGTTCTACAAGTCTCTACATGGGCCTTTCGTAGACACAGTAACCTCTCTCCACTGGCTACGCTTTGGTGACCTCTTCGGGGAAACCGAGGGTTTTGTCTGTGCAATACAGGATCAGGTTATTAAGACCAACAACTATCGGAGATACATCCTAAAGGATGGCACCATCGACATCTATCGAGCTTGTCGCCATCCCGGTGAGTCACTTAGGCATGTCATCTCCGGTTGTTCGGCGCTTTCTAACTCTGAGTACTTGCACAGGCACAACCTAGTAGCCAGAATTCTACACCAGGAGCTCGCTCTGAAATACGGTTTCGTGGATCGGAAGTTGCCGTATTACAAGTACTTGCCGGAAGCCGTGCTCGAAAATGATCGCGCCAGGCTCTATTGGGACCGGGCCATCATCACAGACAGGACTATTCTTGCGAATAAGCCTGATATTGTGCTGATGGACCGGGCACAGTCAAGGATATTTTTGGTCGACATTACCATTCCGTGTGACGAGAACCTCGTGAAAGCCGAAACAGATAAGCAAACAAAATATCTGGACCTGGCTCACGAGGTGACCGACATGTGGGGTGGTCTGCCGACCGAAATTATTCCTGTAGTCGTCTCTGCAAACGGGCTAATCCCAGTCAGCCTCTCGGGTCATCTGAGGCGGCTGGGACTACGTGGCGGACCGCTCCAGGCTCAAATGCAGAAGGCGGTGCTCCTCGATACCGCCCGCATCGTCCGCCGGTTTCTTTCCCTTTCCCCCTAACCCTCGGCCGTTTGGTCTCCCCTGCCGAGGGCTTCCATCTGGTTGGGCTTTTATTTATTTATGTATTTTCATATTTATTTTATTTTATTGATATTTTTGTATGTTTATCTTTTCATTTTCGTTTATAATTATATATTTATACATCCCAACCAGATGAGAAAACTATATAGATACCCCCAAAAATAATAATAATAATAATAAAATTCATGAAGTTATATTATTTTCGCGGAAAATCAATAAACAATACATATATACTCAGTACTGGTGAACAAATAGAGCCCATGGACGAACATAGCACATATAAATATTTAGGATTTCATCAGTCCAAACAGATACATCAAAAACAAGCAAAAATAGACTTAACTAAAAAATTTAAAATTAGAATAAACCAAATATTAAGAACTCAGCTAAATTCACGCAATATTATAAAAGCCATAAATACCTACGCGATACCCATTCTCATCTATTCTTTTGGAATAATAAATTGGTCTCAGAGTGATTTAGTTAAACTTCAACGCACAATTAATACAAATATGACAGTAAACAGAAAACACCACCCCAGATCATGTACACAGCGTCTCACATTACCACGCCAAGATGGAGGGAGGGGCATCATCGATATACAAAATTTACACAACAGTCTAATAGACAAATTTCGCAAATATTTCTATGTAAAATCTGAACATTCGCAACTGCACAAATATATTGTAGGTATAGACAAAAAACTAACTCCTCTTAATCTAAATGACAGAAATTTTCAGCTCAAAATAGTAAGTAAACAGCAGAAAATAGATTTGTGGTCACAAAAGTCTCTGCATGGTAGGCACCTTGCCGATCTTGGTCAAGCACATGTCGACAGGCAAGCGTCGAATGAGTGGCTCCGACGCGGAGAACTCTTCCCAGAGACAGAGGCTTTTGTAATTGCTATTCAGGACCAAGTAATAGATACTCGTAACTATCAAAAACACATTATTCATATTCCCAGCCCTCCAACTGACTTATGTAGACGATGTCACAGTAGCTCAGAGACAATTCAACATATTACAGGTGCATGTAAATCTATAGTTCAAACTGACTACAAACATAGACATGACCAAGTTGCTGCAATTGTCCACCAAAACCTGGCCCACAAACATTCATTCATTTTAAAAAAGGTCGCTTATTATAAATATATTCCCAGCACTATTTTAGAAAGTGATTCCGTCAAAATATATTGGGACAGAACAATTATAACAGACAAGACTATACATTACAATAGACCGGACATAACAATACTAGACAAAATTAAAAAATCTGTTTTTATAATAGACATAGCAGTTTGCAACACACACAACCTCATTACTACACATTCGGAAAAAATGACAAAGTATGTTGACCTGGCTATCGAAATAAAAAGGCAATGGCAAGTAGACTCCGTAAAAATCATTCCCATCATCATATCTACAACTGGTGTAGTTCCAAAGACCCTTCAAACCAGCCTCAACATGCTTCAAATGCCTAAATCCACTCTTACACTTATACAAAAAGCAGTCCTTCTTAACACCTGTCGTCTCACACGTAAATTTCTTAACTCATCACCGTCATCACTGTAATTCTTTCTTTTTTTCCTGCGTGCACACTTGGTCAAGGCCCGTGTGTCCGTTTTCTACCCCTCAATACAGAGGGAGAAATAAAAAGAAATAAAATTAATATAATAATAATAATAATAATTATTTATTTATTTCTCACCACAAACGACATGGAAAATACATTAGTGTTACATCTCTATTTTAACAATTACGCCATCCTTGTTTTTTACACTACATACTGTGCAAGCTAGTGCAATACATGTAGGTGTAGTTTTTATTGAATTATCGGTCATAATTTGTTGTCGAAACGGTCAACTTCACGAGATGGTTTGACAGACGGCCCTTTTTGATTTGACATCGAACTTTAGGGAGTATGGTGCACATACGTAGGGTGCGCATTGAGAGATGTTCTATTATTGGGTAATATAATTATTTTAACTACACTATTAGGCTACGGCGCAGTCGGATAAAGTGTCCAAGCAAGGTTTTTCGTTAAAAATCAAAGTGTACAATAAATTGCCTTAAGAAATAACAAGACTTCGTTTCGACAAGTGACAAAAACATAATTTATGAATCACGCTTTCTATAATATAGAAGAATATATGAAATGTTCATTTTCTGACTTGCTTGACATGTAAAAATAATGTAAATGTATTTTGATTTGTAATTTTAATAATCTAATGTAATCTTATATCATTTGTATTGATTGTAATTTTGACATATCAATGTTACATACATACATACATAAACACTCACGCATGTCACCCAGAGGGGTAGGCAGAGACTACGGACTTCCATTTGGCACGATCCTGACACACCTCTTTCGCCTCCTTTACATCCATATATCTACGCATACATGCTCGTCGGTTAAGGGTACTTCTAACGTGGCCCCTTTTCAAAATATCGCCAATTTGGTCGATAAACTTTTTTCTAGGGCGTCCCTTCCCGATTCGGCCGTTCACATCTGCCATATAAATTTGCTTTGTCACTCTTTCCTCATTCATTCTTTCTACATGACCAAACCACCGAAGCATTCCTTTCTTAATCCTGGTCACAACATCATCTTGCATACCACATTTATCTCTTATCACG